TGGTAAGCAAGGGAAGAGAAATATAGCATGAACTGAGAGTAGTAGATTTGGAAGGGGCAGCTAGGTGGCAAATCAGAGAGTTGCCAGGCCTGGGGTCAAGGAGATTTATCTTCCTGAGTTCAAATCTGGCCTCAGACACTCATTAGCTGTGTGACCCTGAGCAAGTCACTTAACCCTGCTTGCCTCAGTTTTCTCATCTGTAAAATGAGCTGGAGAAAGAAATGTTAAACCACTCCAGTATCTCTGCTCAAAAAAAAAAGAAAACTCCAAATGGGGTCACAAAGCATCAAACACAGCTGAAGATCACTGAACAACAACAAAGAAGTAAATTTATTACCTCAGTCATGGGCCATCACAACAACTACCCCACATTCAAACATTTCATTTCCTGTTCAAGAAGCCCCAATGCCCCTTAAGTTCTTTAACTTTAAATGCCAAGCTGTCTCAGTATGAATTACATGATACCACATAAGGTTAAAAACAAAAACAATTTAATTAAAACAATAAGCTTTGTGATATTAGGGAAACACATCAATGGAAAATACTCCCAATTAATCTCTTCCCCACCCCCAACTCCCAGGGACATATGGTGGTGATTCTAGCTCAGCCAATCCCAGCCCTGAGGTCAATCTAGGGAAACTGGAAACATCAGAATAAATACTTGCCCTGTAGCACAGAAACACCAACTCATCAGAATCTGGAAAGTATTGCTGCTCAAAAGAGAAACCTGTCACAAGGATGGTGATACCCACTCAGGATGTTTTTGAGCGTGGACTGAATTGATTCCCAAGCCAGACACCAGCAAATTCAGTGAAACTTCCTAGTATTGAATCTATACGACATCTGAGCTTGTAAAAAGGAAGAGAAATCTGAGAATCTCAAAAGCCCTGGCAAACAAAACAAGACAGGCCATGCCATTTTTCTTCCCATTTCCTCCCTTTCAATTTTCTTCTCAGGGTGCTTTTCAGAATTTTGAGGCATCTCTTTACAAACTCTGCATCATAGGTACCCTGCAAGTGAATTTTTCTAGTCAAAATGTTGTGTAGGGGCAGCTAGATGGTACAGTGGATAGAGCACAGGCCCTGGAGTCAAGAGACCTGAGTTCAAATTCGGCCTCAGACACTTGACACTTACTAGCTGTGTGACCCTGGGCAAGTCATTTAACCCCATTGCCTAGCCAAAAAAAAAAAGAAAAAGAAAAAGAAAAAAAAATGTTATGTAATTTAAAAAGAGAGTACACAAACAACCTGGAGGGGGAGGAGGGATGGGAAGGGTAAGGAGAGTCAGGAAAGGCTTCCAATAAGAGATTTCATCTGCACCAAGCCTTGAAGGTAGAAAACCATTCTTGGAGACTTAGCTGTAGAGTGATTTCCAAGGCATTCTTTGCCTGGAGGCAGACTGTGTGAAAGCGCAAAAGTGGCTGCAGAAATGTCAAATTCAAAGAATAGTTAATAGGTCAATTTGTTGTAGCACCAGTGCCTCCTAATATGTGGGTCCCTAGAAAGCTACATCAGCTTCAAAGGTATTTGTTCACTCTTGGAGCTATAGCTCTGAGACCCGAACAATGTATTTCTTCTACAATTCAAACTAGAGGATAGATTAATTCAAAGGAAATGATGTACAGTCAAACACCTTGGCAAAATACATGGCAATAAATATCACCTCCTCAATATATACAAGGTTCATTCTACCACCAGTTGGAATGGGAACCTTTATGGCTAGGTAATGATGGGGTGCTTGGGTGTTTGTGTTTGGGTGCTGTGCTTGGACCCCAATTTCTCCCTAGCCTCAGAAACACTATCCCTGACAGTTTCTCCCCAGCCCAAGGACACTGTGCCTAGCAATTACTCATGAGTGGGCCCCAGCAAGACCCTTATCTCTCTCCTTGGTGCAGTTACAAACAGCACCTGAAGGAATTATTAGTTTGAACTGGCTTTGCACTGGGTCATAAAGACATTCTTACTCACTGGACTATCTATACTACCACCCTACCTCATTGTCTACATTCTGGGCTCCTCATTAACTGTATTCTAGACTTAAAACATATGTATACTCCATACATCTATCTTGTCAAACAAGACATTGATTGGTGGCAGACTGGACAACTCTCAGTTGTCCCTGACTGCTAGTTAACTTAGTGACATAGCAGGCCTAAAACCACACCTCCATGTGGCCCCCCCTTGTGGGCTTTTCCTAGTGAACTCTGGGTAAAATGCCTGTGCAGTAGGTACAAGAAGTATATGTTCTTTTAAAAACTGACCACTCCTTAACCACTCCCTAATCCCACCCTGAATCATCTAGTTAGCATATTTGGCACATGTTTTATTGTATTTTATGCTATATAAACTTTAACTGTACCACTCTAAGGTTGCAGGATCCTTAGAATCTTTGCCCACTGAAAAGCGTAACAATAAACTTTTTGCCAACTTGACTTAAAGAATGCTTGAATCTGTGAATTCATTCCAGATGACCCTGTCGTGTACTTCAGTCTTTGAGGGGTCACAGCCTCTTAGATCACAACAGTAACACATGTGGCGGAAATTCACACTTTCAGTGCTACAGTGCAACCTGTCTTCTGGTGATATATCATGATGATCTTGGCATGCAAAGCCTTAATAAACTGAATAAATAAAAAAAAATACAAACTTTCCCAATCTTCTCACACTTTACACCCACCTCCCACTACATACTCAGTGATCCAAGGGACACTGACCTCCTTGCCATTTCCTCAACAAGACACCACATTTCTTGGCTCTGGGCACCACCACCCCTGTGCCTGGAATGCTCACCCTCCTCATCTACATCTCCTGGATTCCCTGGTTTCCTTCAAATCCCAGATAAAAAGCTTATCTTTTATGTGCAGCCTTTCCCAATCAAACTTAATCCTAGTGCTTTAACTCTATTGATTATTTCCAGTTTATCCTGTGTATATATATCACTTATTTGTACATAGAAGTTATCATGCTATCTCCCCATTAGACTATGAGCTCCTTGAGGGCAGGGACTATCTTTTGCCTTTCTTTGTATCCTCAGCACTTAACACAGTGTGAAGGTAGGGATATGGCAGCTGAAATGCCAAATTCAAGGAAGAATTAATAGGGCAATTTGTTGTAGCAGATGGTAGGCACTTAATAAATGACTTCTAGGCTTTTCTGTTCTCTACTGTGTATCTCCAATGAGCAACAGTCCACTGCCATCTGCTGGTCTTAGCTGCAATGCAACTTCTTTCCGAAATTGCCCTGGAGATCATCTCTGGAAAACTTACAGCCACATACTATTTTTACTCTTTTGAGATATAGATACTAGCCAGTCATATCCAGCCACCTAGTTAAAAATGCCTTTAGGCATTTAACCACGTCTTGTTAACTGTTTTCTCTCCTCGCCTTTTTTTCTCCCCTCCTCATCCTAACACCTTATCTGAGTTGTGCTCAGAAACTCTTTTTAATCTCTCTCATCCCCCTTACCTGAAAAAAATCATTCCCAGATGTTCTGCATAGCAAAACTTCAATGAAGGTGAATTATGATGATAACTAATGATAATAATAGCTAACATTTGCATAGCACTTATTCACAAAGATTAAGATTCACAAAGATTACTAAACATTGAAGGTCATTTAAAAATTAAAGATTAAGATTAACAAAGACTTTTACATATATTATTTCATTTGAATCTCACAACAACCCCATGAGGTAGGTGCTATTATTATCCCCATTTTACAGATGGTAAAACAAGGTCACACAGTTAGAAAATGTTTGAAGAAGGATTCAAACTAGATCTTTCTGACTCCAAGTTTAATACTCGGTCCAGTATAATTACCTAGCTAAGGATTTGGTGACTAGAGTCCCCTCAACAACAACGTCCCCATCATGCTTCTCGTATTTCATGCAAATACCAGGGGTTAGGTTGGTTGAATAAGATTGAAAGGGATAATGACTTTTGCCACACTCTCCCTCACTCCCTAGAAAAATATTCCATCTTTAGCTTGCTATCCTAAGAACCGTAAGATTTCTGTAAGTACTTAGTATTGTTATTTTAAAATGGCAATGATATTTTAAAAAGAATATCAATTAAAGAATCAACTTATGAATCAACTATCTGATTAGCTTAAAATTGCATGATGCATATAGAATCTACGTTATTTGGAATTTATAGTTAATATATTTGTATTTGAAGCCTTTAATTATTAAAGTATCCAACTGTTTCAAAGCCTCCCCTCTAAATCACAAATTGGCTCATTATTTTAAAGTAAGGGATCTTAAGGTTCACCATGAACTTGGATGAGAAAAGAAATTAGATATTTATGTTCACTGACCCCTAAATTGCCAGGCCTGGTGTCAGGAAGACATACCTTCCTGAGTTCAAATCTGACTTCAGATACTTACTAGCTGTGTGACCCTGGGCAAGTCACTTAACCCTGTATGTCTCAGTTTCCTCATCTGTAAAATGAGCTGGAGGAGGAAATGGCAAACCACTCCAGTATCTCTTCCAAGAAACCCACAAATAGGGTCATAAAGAATCAGAAGTGACTAAAACGACTAAACAGGAACAAATAAAATTTAGTATTTCTTTTTTTTCTTTTTTATTATCTTTTTGTTCTGAACTTAAGAAATAAAACAATCATTTCCATAACAAAGTGGAATAGAAAATAAAAGAGGATTGCATCTGAAACTGCAGATCTGTTATGTACAACTTGATAGCCTTTTTAGATATGCAACAAAGTTATCATGTAACTTTCTTTTTTCCCCCTCCTTCCCCTCTCCCCACTAGAGATGGCTTTCATTAGACACAAATGTGTGTGTGTATATGTGTGTGTGTGTATGTATATATATATATATATGTATACACACACACACATATATATATATATATACATGTGTATGTATGTATGTATGTTCTTTCTCTGGATGCAAACAGCATCTTCCTTCACAGGACTTTTGCAGCTAATTTGGGTATTTATAATAGAATGACCTGGCTGCTCCAACTTGTTCTTAAAACAATATTGCTATTACTGCATACAACATTCTCAGTATTTCTTTCAATTATCTAAAAACATTATTTGAGAAAGAATCAGTAGGCTTGAGCATATTGCCAAAGGGATTTATGACCAAAAAAAGTTAAGAACCCCTAGTTTAAAGTTATTATAATGTATGAGCTAAAGGATTTCTAATTTCTACTGAAAATATCTATTAGTCTCATGTTGACATTGACAGGTTCAATATCCAAGATATAGGAGGAAGAAAAAGAACAAGAACAGGACGAACTAGAACAAATGAGGAATGTAAAGATAGGACATCATATGACTGTCTCCACAATACAGATGAAAAAACTGAGACAGACAGAGGTGAAATGATTTGCCCAGGATCTGATGATCCTTGAAGTGTCTGAGGCTGGATTTGAATTCAAGTCTTCCTGACTCAAAACCCAGTGTTCTAGCTACAATACCACCTAGCTGACGAGAAAATATAATCCAGATTTGGCAATTCTCTTTGAGATTTAATTTCATGTGCTTCATTCACAATTAAAAAAAAAAACACTGAAGGCAAATCTCTGTCAGTCACTGTGCCTACAGGGTAAGGTCTTAGGGCTATGTGCTCTAAAACAGAGCTCTTCTTGGGAAATTATCCCCCAGGGAAAGGAATTCTGCCTCCTCAATGGTGGGATATATAAAGGCTACCCTAGGTGACATGTCTGACAGAAAGGGCTCTTCCTTCTTGGTTAATGAAGCATTTTGGCTGAAAGTAGGGCTAGGGAACAGAGGACACCCACATACTACTTAAGCGAACGACATCTTCCCAGTTGAGAATCAGGCTATGGGAAAGATAATGCCCTTAACTTCTGCTCGTCAAGAAAAAGCTGAGCTCCAAGGCCTGAAAGGTTGGATTTTTTCCTTTTTCTGTCCCTCTCCCCTGCTTCCTGCCTCTCTGACACGTGGTCAGTCAGTCAATCAGTTGCTCTGGGAAAATATTCTTCTGAATTCATGTCATAGGTAACTACTGTTGAATATCACCATCACAAAGCAGAATCCCAAAATTTAAAACCTAAGTTTTATTATGCTTAAGCCCAGGTTCAGAACTGAGAAAAACAGCTCTCCACCCAGACAAGGGTTCTAACATAGCTCATATAATTGCCAATTACATCAGAGAGACAGGGAAATGATTTTTGATCATACAGCAATCTGAGGCCATAAATTAGATGGACTTAGTTTAGTAGAATCATAACTGCATAATCCTCCAGAGAAGTAGACTTAGTTAAGCATAATTAGTTTTAAAGTCTATAGGTAAACTAAGTGAAGCAACAAATTAAACTACATTTAGAGGATTCACAATGATTGAGAGGGGAGATTTACATGCCCCAAAGATAACACAGGGTTGGAACCAGTTGGGATACTTGCACAAATAAAGCAAGTTAAATTACTTTAGGATGTCTTGACTCCCTTTTGGCTTCTCGCTTCATGAATGTAACATCTCATTGGACAGGTTTCAGCCAGCCAAATAACCTCCTGGAGAAAAAGCCCTGAACTCCCCAAAGTAAGGATTACTAAAAGGAAATTTTTAAAAATTTAACATAGTCAATACACATTTATTAAATGTCTGCTATGTGCTAGGCACTATGCTAAGTGCTAGGGATACAAAGAAAGGCAAAAGGCAGTGCTTTTTTCTCAAGGAGGTCATAATGGAGTAGACAACAAATGAGGGAAAGGAGAAAGAAGATTGCATGTGACTTCAATCCAACAGGATTTCTTTCTGTGACGGTGGCAAAAAATGGTGTCACTGGAGACTGAAAGGTGGAACAAAGACTAGCAAAAGGAACCATAAAAGATTAGTGAATGGGCATGAAGAAAGGGGAAGTTTCCCACTGGGTACATTTTGGATTATCAAGCAAGTAGAGGCAAGTTTGCAAGCTGTAGCTATGATCCCTTAAGGACATATTTTGATTAGTTTTTCACTTTGCCCAGAGGAAGATGGTATATTCAGCAGAAGATGCACTAAATAATATAGCATCTAAATTTTTAAAGAAAAGTTAAATGAAATATAGGCAGAGATAGATGGCAGTGCTTAATAGTGGGGGACTTCAAGCTTCCCCTCTCAGAACTAGATAAATTTAACATAAACAAATGAATGAATGAATAAACAAATAAATAAATAAAAGACATTCCATCTCCTTGAACTGATCCCTACTCCCACTCCAAACTCTCCACACATACCTGATCTAACAGCATATCAGACTCAGGGAAGTTGGCTAGTGGCAGACCTGGGCAGGGAGCAGCTACTGGCGGCCAAAGGAGGAAGAAGGGGTGCTTTCCTGTGATTTGGGGGCTTCTCTGGGCTGAGGGTCATTCTCTGGCTATATAATTACAAGGGCCTTTTACAGACCTATCTGAATATTCCCAAAGAAACAGAAAGAGAGGGACAATATGAGGTGTACAAGGAAGAAAGGTGGATCAAGGGCCCAGCCTGACAGAAAACAACATTTTTCTGCTTTGGGTCCCAGGGTCTCTTTCAGACAATGATGCTTCAGCTGAACCCTCCAAAGAGGCACCCCATCAAATCCCCTAGGATCTCTCTTAGAGATCCTACAAAATCTTAGAACCATAGAATCAGAGTTGGAAGACACCTTCAAAAACATCTTCTCTAATCTTTTTACCTTATTAACATATGCATTCCTTATAAGTGTCATATAGATCTTCTGTTTGAAAATCTACAATAACAGTCAACTTAATTTCTCGAACACCTCTATTTAAGATGTCCTTCCTCATAACCCTCCTCTAAATGAGTCTCTTGTCCAATTCCATCCATTTCACCTAATCCCTTCTGGGGACAAGTTGAAGAAGTCTAATTTCTTTTCCCCACCATAACTTTTCAAATACTTGAAAGCAGTTACTATTTCTCTCTCCCTGAACGCTTTTCCATGTTAAACTGAAACCCCTCCCGCCACCCCACCTCCTTCCAGATCTTTCATTTGATCCTTCTATGATCTCCAGTCCTCATCAGTGTTGCCCTTCTCTCAATGTCGCTCCTAAAATGTGGTACCCAGAATTTGAGTCAACACGCTGGATGTGGCGTGAATCCGGCAGAGAACAGCTGTATTGAATTGCTCCCTGGAGTGGGACACGACTTCTGCCCAAGGCCCTACTGCCTTATAGGAGCAGGGGGGCAGATGGGGCATGGGCCACATGTATTTTTCCGAGCTCCTTCCCTCTCTTGGACCCTAAAAAAAATTGTAACCCTCACACACCTCAATATGTGACAGCATTCCCATTGACCTGAAACTGGTACGACTAAGGTCAGAGCAAGTGGAGCTCTCCAGCTCGGGAGACCTTGCCCCCGCCCTATACTGTGGGAAGGGGCGGGACAGAGGGAACTCAGAGCAGCAGCCGACCAATTGTACCTCCCCGCGTCCAGGGCAGCTCAAGGAGAGGAGGGTGGAGGAAGGAGCAGATTGGGGAGGCCCCGCCTCACTAACCCCCCTACCCATCCAGCTGCGGGGCTTCAGTCAATAAACGCGCCAGGCCTCCTAGTCTTTCTCCCGGGGACGTTCTATCTCCCCCGAGCTGCGACATGCGGGACTACGACGAAGTGACAGCCTTCCTGGGCGAGTGGGGACCCTTCCAGCGCTTCATCTTCTTCCTGCTCAGCGCCAGCATCATCCCCAACGGCTTCAACAGTATGTCGATAGTGTTTCTGGCGGGGATCCCGGAGCACCACTGCCGGGTGCCCGCCTCGGCGAACCTGAGCAGCGAGTGGAGGAACTACACCATCCCGCGGCAAATGCAGGAGGGCCGCGAGGTGCCCAGAAAGTGCCAGCGCTACCAGCTCGCGGCGCTGACCAATTTCTCGACCCAGGGGCTGGTGCCCGGGAGGGACGTGAACCTGAGTCAAGTGGAGCTGGAGCCCTGTCTGGACGGCTGGGAGTATAGCCAGGACACGTATCTATCCACCATCATCACGGAGGTGAGTGCCGTACCCGGATGAAGGGGTGATGCAGCCCTGGGAATCTCATACGCTCTCCCTCGGGGATCCCTTAGCCAGAGCTGGCTTCCCGTAGAGCTTGCGGGCGCATTTCATTGTGGTTCCACGCTTGTGTGCTCCGGCATTGTGTGCTTGAGTCAGGGTGGCTGCTGGGTGTCAGCAAAGCTTGGGGCATGCGGCGTGCAGTGCGTGCCTCAGTAAGGAATAGCGGTTTTAGATTTGCGGTCGGGAGCTAATGTGCGCCCCCAGCGCGCTCGCCAGGTCTGGGAGCTCTGACGCAGAAGCGGATCCCAGGGCTGGAGAGAAGAGGAAGCCTCACCAGAGCACACAAACCAACAAAGGGCCAAACGTTACTACCAACACGCCTTTTTCCTCCAGTTTCATAACTAGGTCTGGACCTATTTCCCAAGAACCAAATGTTGGCATGTCAAATGTCCCAGGCGACAACCGTCCAGAGGTAGACTAGTTGAGTCAGTTAGAACAGTACAAAAGAAGGGGAAGTTTCACTCTCAACCCTCCTCCAAGGGAATGACAGGGTCGAGAGAAAAGAATGGCTGATCAGCTCCACCTGGCTCCAAAGTGCCCAGGCTGACTGCTGCGATAACAGATCCTGGCTAATTCTCATCCTCTTCCCTCCCCTGTCCCTTTGGCCCTAAACACAACAAACACACAGACTTTGCATTACATTAATTGACACCTCTCTCTGTCTCTTTCTCTCTGTCTCTGTGTCTGTCCCTCTGTGTCTGTGTCTGTCTCTCTCTGTCTCTGTCTCTCTGTGTCTCTCTCTGTCTCTGTCTATCTCTCTCTCTTTCTCTCTCTTTCCTCCCTTCGGGCATCTAGGTATCTGGGTGCTGTTCTTCTGCTCGGGGCTTGAGTGCCCAGTCTTAGGCAGGTGGTGCTCTGAAGTTAGCCCACCAATTAATTTTGTAATTTTTTTTTTGGCGAGGCATTTGGGGTTAAGTGACTTGCCCAGGGTCACACAGCTAGTGTGTGAGTATCACGCGTCTGAGTCCGTATCTGAACTCAGGTCCTCCTGACTCCATCCACTGCGCCACCTGCTGTTCCCTTTTGTAATCTTTTGATGACTTTGCGGCTCTGGACTTCTATTCTCACTTTCCCTCATAGTAAAAATGTCACAGAAGTATTTGCCTATTCAATTCAATATTCCCCTCACACCCAGCTTATAACGTAAGCAGGGGGGGAAAGAGAAGGTCGGGGACTCTCTACTTCCAGCGCTTGCACAGAATGGACATTTAATAAATGTTTGTTGAAGCTGATAAAAGTAAAGTACTTGTTTATTGATATGCTAATGAAAGTTAGGAAACTATCTCGGATTTTGTCTGTCAAGAAGGAGGGGCTCTAGGTATGAGAATTCCCCCCACCAACGAGCTCCTAAACCTTCTTTACCTTAGCAAATAGCTTCTAGGGAATTGCCTGAGGCACACAAAGGTGTTGGGTAACTTGCCTAGACAGAAGGAAAGCATATGTCAGGAACAGAACTCGAGCCAGAGTTTTCCGGATTCCAAGGCCAGCCCACCGTCTTCACTGCCAGGATCCCTTTCACGCTATAGTATCACCTCAGATGTTTTTAAATATTTTTCTACTGTACTTTCTTGAGGGATCTTGGGGAGGCCGAATTTGAACTCGGGTCTCCTGACTCCAGGGTCGGTGCTCCATCCACTGCGTACCTAGCTGCCTTGCTTTCTTCATATTTGTTAAAGGAATTTACGATCACACTTTCCCTTCATTTTTCTCAATCCAGTAAAAACCCTTTATTCGGTGCTCTTCCCTTTCAGCGGAATACTCTAGCTCTGGAGTGCATTCTTGCCATCACCTAGGAGGCTGTAGTCAGAAGTTTAAGGAGAAAGAAACTTATTTTTGCCGACTTGATTGTTTCTATCTTTATCTCTCCGTTCACACTGTTGTGCTGAGCAACCGCAGACTCGCGAGCCCAGTAAGGTCTTTGCTATGGGGTGCTGGGAGACATGTTATATTTGCCAGGGTTTCTATGGATCCTGAAGCACCTACCAGCTGCCAATTGCTTTATCTGGAGTTGCTTGTCTAAGGCTTAATAAAAGGATTTGTTCAGTGAAGTTTGGATTGAGTCAAAGGACCACACCTGAAGTCCTAGAGGGCCACATGTAGCCAGGAGGCTGCAGGTTCCCCACCCCTGAAGCCATGGGCTCTGCCTACTGTTGGCTCCATCCTTCTCAATAATTATTTTATTAACAGCTTAATTTCAAAGATCAGTACTAAACTATTTACATTTAAGTAAATTGATTTCTAATTTTAAGGAGTCTGTGACTTGGGAAAGGTTTTGAACCTCTTGTGTTAAACTGCTAATTCTCCTTCCAAGTCTTCGTTTTCAAAGTGAAGGGGGCTGAAAGGTGGGACTGCATAGTACTGCAAACCTACCTCTATTCTGCAGCTCCTGACCTAGTCACTTGCCTGTGGGCCAAATTCTAGATCTTAAGTTTTTAAATAACCCAGGATGGTTTCTTCTTAGATTGCAAAATTACTACTATATCTGGCACTCTTCTTAAAGCTTTGCTGAAATAGTGGAGGAAATCGGTGGACAGAAGAGTTGATCTCTACTATTTCTTCCTGCTTAGACATCTTTCTTGTAAATAAATTAATTTCAACTCATAAAGTATACTGCTATTCTAGTCACTCTAGATTCCCATCAAATATTTTGTTTGTTCATTTTTACTGGCTTTTCCTAATATGTTCAGAATTAGTGTAGATTTTACTCTTCTAGTTCTGATTTTTTTGTTTTGCGTTATTTCAAATAGATCTTACCAAATGTCTTTGTATTCCTGATTCTGATATTCCAAATTATATTTTAATATTTTATTGCATTAATGTACCACAGCTTATTTAAACATTCCCCTCTTCCTGACCATTTAGGATGCATTGTATTTTTTGCAATTACAAATTATGCTGCTATAAAAATCTTCAAGCAGATGGCTATTCTTTTGGGGTTTTTTTTTAATGAATTTATTATTTATTTTGTGCCTTTTTTTAAATTTTGAGTTCCAAATTCTCTCCCTCTCTCCAGTCCTTTCCCCACTCATTGAGAAGGCAAGCAATACAATATCAATTATACATGTGAAATCATGCAGAATACATCTACTTTTATTTTTGGTAACTTTCAGAGTATGTTCCAAATAATGGCTTCAATAGCTCAGCACTATCCCTTTTCAAGTAATATTGGATTTGGAAGGGATCTCAGAGGCTTATGCCTTTGTGACAAAAGAAACAAACTGGGGCAGCTAGGTGGCACAGTGGACAGAGCACCGGCCCTGGAGTCAGGAGGACCTAAGTTCAAATCTGGTCTCAGACATATAACACTTACTAGCTGTGTGACCCTGGGCAAGTCACTTAACCCCAATTGCCTTGTCAAAAAAAAAAACCTAACAAACAAAAAACACCTTTGTAATATCCTAACAACTGATATCCTAGTCCTGTGTTTCCCATTTAGTGGTTCTCAAACCCCTTGGGATTATGACAATGGTCCAAGGGTGGAACTCCAAGAGGTTCACACTAAAAAATCTTTAATAATGCCTTAAGCAATAAATAATTGCTCAATCATATTACAAATATATTCTTCTTCAATGACAACAAGCATATGCATTCTTGAAGCTTTATAGGTTTGTTTCTATATCGATTCAAAACCATCAGGAGCTTTTTTGGACAAAAGTTATAGTTATAAGTACTTCATGAATGAATCTAAAAGAATATTATACATTATTATATTAATGTTAATTACTATATAAAATAACTAATATATTACATATTAAATTACTTTGAGGGTTCACAGCACATGTTTTGTTTTTGTAGGGGTTCATGGAACAAAAAATGGTAGAAACCACTGTCTTAGCCTAAAGCTAAGCTTAACTTAAAGATCTCTAATTCTTGAAGACTTTGAGTGAGTTCTGCCTCCCAAAGCAGCCCATTCCACTTCTGGAAGTTTCTAATTGCTAGTTTTTTATTTATTTGGTTTTTATACAGGGCCTAAAACTGCCTCTTTGCAACTTTCATGTTCTGGAAGGCATTTTATTTGTTGTGAACAATAGGCACAGAGAGTACAAAGCATTCTTGAAGCTCTATGTACTTGGAAGGGCTTTGTGATCATTTCTCTACTTACCAATTCCCACTAACCTGTGTTTGCTTCTGCTTAGCTGGAGAAATGGAGAAGTAACCTGGGCTCCCACAGTTTTCCTCACTGACACCTCTCTTTCTTTTTTCCTTCCTTGCTTCTTTACTGATCGGTGAATGTGAAAAATGGAGAGTGGAATGGAGGTAAATGAAGAGAGTCAGGAGAGGGGAGCAAAGGGATGTTTCCAAATTTTGATAAAATTTTGTATTCTGAATGGTGAATGGGGAGAAGGTGGTCTTTGTATCCACTACCACTTTAAGGTTGAGTTCCTACATAGCAAAGAATAGCAATATGGGACCCATGTGCATATATGTGTATGTATGCATACATATACACATATCTGTATATCTGTATACACATGTGTGTATACAGAATACATATTTACACATGGTGATGACTGTATTTCAATATAGTTAGTTTCCTTTGTATTTTATTTTACGCATTTAAAGACGTTCTTCTGAGAAGTTCATAGGCTTCACCAAACTGTCAAAGGGAACCAGGATAAAAGGTTAGGAACCCCTCCTAGAGAGATATTATAACTCTTTGAAGGTCACAAAGACAACCTAGGTGCCAGAGAAAGTTTGTGCCATGAAAACAGTACAGGGTGAATAAAAGCTTACCAAGGAAACAGCCTAAGACTTGGCAGAACCAAAGCATCTGCCCTTTTCTCTGTTACTGGAAAGAAACTTGATATTTCTGGGAGAGGCAGGCAGTTTGCAATTTTCTCCTCTAGGAGGGCCCTCTCTGGGAACCTAATGACTCATCATCCCAAAGTCGTTGTAAGCCACTCCTCTCTTCAGCTTCTTTTCACCTTGGAGAGTTG